CAAAGTTTCCTCCAACATTTTCGTACAGTAACCTTCTTTACGTCTTTCCAAGCCAATGCAGCCGCATACACAGCGTCCTTAAGGTTGAAATCAGATTGAAATTCAGAAACACTGCAGTCTGAGTTTACCAACTTTTGGACAAAAGTCCCCTTGTAGAAACACTTAAAGTTCTGTATCACACCTTGATCCATCGGTTGGATCAAAGATGTCACGTTTGGTGGCAAATATGTAGCGAAGATATTTCCACTTACAAGCTCTGAAGCGGGCGGATGTGCTCGACAGTTATCGAGCAAAAGAACAGCTTTACTATCCTCCGGTAGACCCTCCTTTCTAAAATTCTCCTTAACTGCGAGCACAAAATGATTAAAAAAAACAGTCCTTAAAGATTTCTGACGTCATCCAAGCATTCCCCTGTGCCTCATAAATCACTGGCAAACTCGTAAGAGTTTTAAATGCCCTTGGTTTTTTGTACTTCCCTATGACAAGAAGCTTAAGTTTATGCGTGCCAGATGCATTTGCGCATACCAGAACTGTAATGTGGTCTTTGTTCATTTTGAAGCCATGAGCAGCCTTTTCACCACCGCCAACTAGAGTAGAGTTTGGTAAACAACGCCGTAAGGGCCCAGTTTCATCAGCATTGTACATTTGACAAGGTGACAACCTGTGTTCCTCCACCAACTGCTCAAAAATAGCACTATACTCCTCAGTGGCTACATGATTGGCAGACTTTTGCTCACCACTGATATCTAATTTACGGATCCCATGCCGATCCTTAAAATTACGCAACCAACCTTCTGAAAACACACATGATTCGCTAATATTAATTTGACTGTGAAACTATTTTGCTTTTTCTACGAGCACTGGCCCAGTAATGGGCTTACCTTCAGAACGCTTTGCACTAAACCACTTAAAGCTACATCCAACTGTGCCATCTTAGGCATTTTCAGAGTTTGCCGTAGCTCAGTACGTTTAGTAGGTGCTTCACTTTCAGCAACAAATGCTCGCAATTTATCCTTCTGTTTCTTTATGTCATAGATTGTCGAAGATCCAACGTTAAATTTACTCATGATCACGTTCCGATTTATGCCTCTTTCTAGCATCTTTATAATTTCTAATTTCTGGTTCAGTGTCAGGGTTATATGCTTCCTTTTTAAAGTTTTCTTACCACTACTACTAGCACCTTCATTCACTTTTGACTCCATCACTATGTACACTCTGATGGGCAAAAATATTCAAAAGTCAAAACAGCACTCTCCAGTGGGTCACAATTCTAATGGCAGACTGACTCAATGCCTTCCGGTTCACTGGGTTCAACTGCTGCCTCTGTTTTTTTGCGAAAGCTCACTCGATCTTTTGATCCTGGACTATCGGTCTACTGGTCAAAGCAGCAGGGACAGGGAGGGGAGATGATCTCTTGTGAGTTTCAGCAGCAGCCTGTCACCTGCGGATCTACCTGTTCCCACCGCCTCCCCCTTCCGGCAGTAGAGAGGAAAGTTACATTAACTGCGTGTCGGCTGTGGATCCAGCCAGAGTGACTGTAACTGACCAGAACGTCCTGAATGCGGCTGCTTTGGCACAC